CTGCCCCCAACAGCTGCTTCGCCCGCACTCTCCCGCACTCGCCCGCGGGGCCTACCAGGACCTTCCGCGTCGAAGAATGCCTCCGGTGTGACCACCGGCCTGGAAGCGCCAGGGCACGGTGGGGACGAGGCCTGCAGGTCTTGGGCCTCGCGGGACATACTTGAGTGCCGGCGAGGGGCAGCGCCATGACCACTGGGCACCTTCGCCTCCTTCTAGTGGGAACGTCCGAGGCACCCACCTGTGGGGAGTCCTTTGCTGACCACCGTGTTTAAAGTCACTTCTCTTTCTTTCTCCCTGCGTCCAGCTTCTCCTTTACTCTAGCCTTTCTTACTAGTGTCCGTTGTTATTTACTAGTTTAGTTATTTTTGCAGCGCTGAGTATTGACCCAAGGCCTCAATGGCTCTGCCACTGAGCTCACACCCCCCAGCCCGCTATCCCTGTTGGAAACCCGACAGGTTTTTATTCCTGGTGCCTCCTCGGGGCAGGCACACAGGCCTCAGTAAATTTGAAGGAATGAATTCCATCATCATCCAGGTGCCGATTGTCCTTGTTCTCTCAGGCTCCATCCTAGATGAGCCTTGAAGACAATATACCAAGTGAAAGAAGCGCACACCAAAGGACCCATAGCATATGACCCCACCTGTGTGAAGTGTCCACAACAGGCACCCCTAAAGCCAGGGAGCACATTCATGGTTCCCAGGGGTGGGGAGTTGGGGTTAGCGGGGAATGCTGTAAAGAATAAGGGACTTACCCCATATTTTTAATTGGTTCATTATAGCTGTACATAATGTTGGGGTTTGTTGTCACACATTCACACGTCACATGATAACAATATAATTTGGTACATATCATTCCCTTTTCCTTCCCTCCTCTCTCCCTCTGGGATCTCTGCTGATCTCGTTTCCATTTCCATGAGATCTCCCCACTTTTCCTTTTTCTCTCTAGCTTCCACAGATGAGGGAAAAATATATGAACCTTGACCCTCTTGAATTTGGCTTATTTTGTTATTATATTAAGATGGCTTAACAGAATGCTCTCTAGTTTCATTCATTTCCTGCAAATGACATAATTTCACTCTTCTTTGTGGGTGAACAGGATAAGGGATTTCTTTAGGGGGAGTGATAAAAATGTTCTGAAATTAGGTAGTATTCATAATTGCACAATTCTGACATACTGTCCTAAAAACCACTGAATTGTATAAGAGGGGTGAATTTTATGGTATGTGAATTATATGTCTCAAGGCCATTATAAAAGCAAAACAAAACAAGTATTCCTCCTTGTTCTCTGATACATGCCTTCTCTGGAAGGATTCAGAGCTTCTTCCATTGTTGCATAAAACATGGCCAGATGGAGCCACTGAAGTGGCCGGAAACAAACAGATGAGGGGAGCCAGCATGGCCAGGGAACCCTGCAAGGCCTCCCTCTGTCGCTGCTATTCCAGATGCAGTGGGCACCTGAGCCTCTGCTCACAGAGACCACCTCTCCCCAGAGGCTGCCTCCTCCATGCCAAGGTAGCCACATCATCATCATCTCCAGTCTTGGGGAAGGACGGGGTGGCCTAAAGCAAGCTCACTGGCTCTCTTCTGAGTGAGCTTTGCCTCCTGAGCCTCAGCATCCTCATCTGTGAACAGGTCAGTAACAGCAGGGCCAGTCTGCTCTGGTCTTCCGGTTCCCAGTTCAGCTCACTGTCTGTTATACCCTCCTCTCTGTAAAAACTTGCATTTGTGGGACTTTTTTATTTCTTCACTTTTGATGATTGGGATTTTTGTTAAATATCATTCATTTGTTTAGAAACAAAAATTGATCCCGAGTGGTGGTGCATGGTTGTGGTCTCAGCCACTGTGGAGGCT